ACCCTGCAAACTGCTTGTGGGGAGGAATGCCTTTGCCCTTTCCCTGCATATCAAAGGTTCCAAGCTATGTTGTTTCTTAGCTCCTTGGGAATGAATCTCTCCCGCTTGTGACTCTGGATTATATTCCACCATAACAAAAAATTTCAATAAAATTATTTATAAAAAGGATTTAGAACATTGAGATGACCTATTCAGATGCTTATATATGATGTCATGTAACTGTACTAATTATGGAAAATATTTAGTATAAGCTATTAATCCAAGCTATACTATCAACTACAAAATCAGACTGCTTAATTTGATTCTTATTTTATTAATAATTGACCCCAGAACCATAAAAATATGCTTGAATTTCGTAGCAGAATATTGACTACTCTTTTGGGTTTCCTTTGAAGATCTAGTACTGATATATTCAGAAGAATCTTTACCACTGATTTTGATATTTTTTTAATGAATCCACATTTAAACTTTTAAAATTTAGCTCGAGGAAACATTTTTACTTACTGGTATTAGGGCTACTGGATCTAAAATGCAAAAGTCCAGATGGCCACTAGATGGCAGTTAAGAACTGTCACATGATGCTTCACTGGATTTTTTTTTTCCAGCCCAAATGTGATAGTAATTTTCTTGACAAGTAGAGCAATCTAATAAAGTATGTACACACAAAAGCTAATCTGTATTTTAAAAACTCAGAGACATTCAAATATCCATTGAATGAGTCAGTATTAATGACTTTAGGATACTGTGTGTTTACTTATGTTAGCTCAGCAGCTGTTGTAGATTTTGTAACTGTAATTTTATACTGGACTGTATTATGTTACTTTATCTCAAATTGCCATGAATAGATATTGAAGATGCAGGAAATCAGCAGAAAATGTACTGTTATTTTTTAAGTAAATAATTTACTTGCTTTTTTTAGCCAACACCCACGGTCGATATTCAGTTTTCAATCACTGACATAATAACATTTTTTCCCTGTATTCAATACTTTAGGGGAATTCAGACACCAAATCCAAATCGCATAGAATGATATACCTATAATTGACATTTAAATACTTAATGCATTATGTGTCCTACTTGACATGAATCCTCACAGATAAAACATGGGGGAGCAGATATATACACCTAATTATCCATAAGCTAATTTATGCAATACCAAACAATTGTTGGCTTGATTTTGTAGAAGTCATGTTTAGAGTTGTCAGCAAATTCGCTTCTTGCCAACAAATATCTAAGAGATCCAACAAAAATCTCTCATTAAAGACACATGAATATATTTTATAATTCCACACTAAAAGGACAAGTCCTCTAAACGATAAATAGAAAGTAACTACAAGTGGTCAGTTCTCATACTGTAATGGAGGGGGAATCCCAAATACTTCACATTCGCTTTTTCATTTGTTTATTTGAGTGAGATGCAAATGATTTGACAGAGATGAAATATTTAGGATAACACAAAATAACTGGTGATTAGGACGGGCATTCCAGCATGAGAAGGTATGAAGTAATAAATAGGGTTGAAAAATCTATAATATATTTGTGCTGCCAGAACTATTGGTAGCACAGCAAAAAATAGAATACAGTATTGTACAAAGCAGCAATGTAAAAAAAAGGGTAATACACTGAACAAAAAAGACAAAACACTATCATAACATTTGCACAATTCTGTAATCAAATATGCAAAATGTTTAGGCTTTGGCTCCTATCAATTCCAGTGGGCTAGAGGAGCTGTTGTCTGAAAATGTAGAATTGTTGAGAAAATAATTATTTGCCAAATGAATATACTACTTTGAACAGCTGAATTAAAATGAAATTTTAACTCTCACACCTCTTTTTCTCATTAAAGGTAATTATTGATAATGAAATCAGAAAAATGTATCTTTCAAGGTTTACCTTTATAGTTACATTTTTACAATTCAACAAATACTACATGTTTTAAAGCTGTTTTCTGAATTATGAGTTGAGTTTCTTTTCACATTTAAATTCAAAACTGAAGATGCTGTATAAAATATGTTTTTCCCAGATGTACCATGTTTCTCAGCACTATATTAACTTGTTGGAAATCTCATTTTAAAATTTTAATTCACCCATATCCTATAACAACTTCTAACTTGTAGAACATTATTAATGTTAGTACATTATAAGCAACTTATGACATTACTATTACAGACATCTGTTTATACAATCAATGATCAGAAACCAGCCCCAGATCTGCTCTCTTCTCTTAAAGATATAATAAATATAGAATAAACGGAAAGATTTTTCATGCACATTTCCTCCTTTTTTCATAAAAAAGAAAAATCTTGTTAGAACTTTTAGCAAAGTACAATACAAATTAATATTCATGTAACTTTGGGGGGAAATAAAGCTCTGCCTATACAATGAAATGTTAATTATTATCCTACTCTTTATTTCTGTAAATTCTCTATCTGTATTTCAAAAAGAAAGTAAGAAAATGTCTACTTTAGAATCGGAGGCTGAATTAGCTAACTTCCTCAAACCTCCATATTCATGTATGGTATGAGTAACTATATGCACATATACATTCATTGTATTTTATGTATAGCATTGTCAGATTAGTCACAAAACCAATAGTTGGTTATCAAAGTATCAGTTTACCCTTCAGCAATGTTTCTTAACATTGGCCTTTTTATGAGGTGTGGACTTAAGTCCCAAAATTCTCCAACCAGCCACGTTGGATGGGGAATTCTGGGAATTGAGGTCCACATCTCTTGAAAGGGCCAGGGTTGAGAAACAATGGCATAGAGCAGGGGTAGGCAATCTTGGCTCTTTTATGACTCGTGAACTTCAACTCCCAGAATTCCTGAGCCAGCATGGCTGGGTCAGGCATTCTGGGAGTTGAAGTCCACGAGTCATAAAAAAGCCCAGGTTGCCTACCCCTGGCCTAGAGTCTACGAAGTCATAACTATATATGAAAGTTGCCATTTTCCTACAGTTAAGGAAATGTTGTGTTCAGAACAGGACTTTTGTATGAAAGTTAATCATATCCGAGTGTTTTCTACATAAGCATTCAATGAATTTATTTACAGCAGGGCATGAGACCAGCTTTCTAGGAAAAAGAAGACGGAATTAACCAGATTTTAGAATCATCACACAAATCCCAAATATAGCTTCTGCTGAAAGATGTGGCAGCTAATATATGTGGCCATACGCAATAAAGCAAATTCTCATTATATTAAAATCAGACAATACTACTAAGGGGGGGAAAGCACATGACCTGTGCTCTATTACAGGGGTCCCCAGTCCCGGTCTGTAGACCAGCACCAGGCCACGGCATGTCAGCAACCAGTCCACACAAAGAAGCGAAGCCCCATCTGTGGGATGTAGGCACGCACCCTCTGATCTGTGGAAAAACCGTCTCCACAGAACCGGTCCCTGGTGCCCAAAAGGTTGGGGACCTCTGCTCTATTAGCTATTGCTTTAAGCAGCTTTTTTTTCCTTTAATGAGATGTTAATTCTTATGCTGAATTAAAGAGGAAGCAAATTTCAAAAGTTTACAAGAACTAGCCCGCCATAATCTTTAGAATCAATCTTCGCTGCTACTCTGAACAAAACTCTGCACATTTGGTCTACGTGCACACACACGCGCACACACACACACAGACAGACACACAGCTGCAGTATTACTTCCCCTAACCAGGTGGATATAATTCTCATACAAATTAGACACTTTCTCCATTTTCTATACTATATTTCATTCTTAACATTTTAGATCACAAGAGTTTCATCATTATCAAAATCATGTTATTTTCAATTGTGTTTCTCTTCTGTCAAACTATATTATGCATTTCTTTTCTTCCTGGTCTGACTAGCATAATACTGCATAGTTAAATGAACTGTTATTCCCAGCTCAAGAAACAGGACACTGCAGTAGCCCAAGGGAGCACACTGCCAACAGCTTCTCTACCATGGCTACCTTACCATAGTTTATCCCAGCCATTGCTTACTGCTCTGCTTTCTGTTACATGATCTACTGAATGTATTGGGGATTAGAATGAAGAAAGTTTCCCATTTCCTCTCCACTGTTTTATTGACTGATTTTTAACAATACTATGGAAAATACAAACGTGGAGGGTAGCCAAATACTCAATTATGTTGCTGCCTATCACCAGTCATAACAAATATACATACAGTGACATGTGCTCTGGGTGTGCACCACAGTATTCTCTGGGTGAATATGACATCAGGAAATTGCCTAAAAAATAGTTATTTTTCCAACCAGGCTAATGTTTCTCTAGCATCATGAAGAGTCACCTTTGGGTGCTTATAGGCAAACATTAAAGAAAGTATTCTAGCAGCTGGTATTTAGTTTCTTGCTTGAAGCAGAATTACTTATCTTAACAAAATACTGAGAGTGTTATACCCACTGAAGTCTTTGCAAAGATGCAGCAACACATAAGAACAGAAAAACAAAGGGAAACTGTACATCCACAGCTGTTGACAACCCAAAGGAAACATGGCACTGCATTAGTGGATCCAAGAGGTTATCTACCTTTCCTGCAGAAGAGCATCTTTTTCCCTGGAATGAAATTTTGTATCCTCTTTCAACCATCTACACACTAATCCAGTTACGGAGCATCGCTACTTCTGAATTCCTGCAGCTTAGTCTAAATACCGAGGTGTGAAAGAGCAAGATGGCTCTGCAAGATTGGGGGGGGGGGGGGGGAGTTGCAGTCAGAGGGCAGCAGCAGTTGATTAGAAGATGAGAGGTACACCAACCCCCACCACATCCTTATGCCAGAAGGGAAATTGAGGCAGACGACAACACATCTGCAAAATCGAAGGTAATCCTTCTCCCGACCTGACACTCCACAGGCGCGGTACTATAGCTCCTATCGTGCTCAGCCGCCAGCTAGCCGGGGCTGATGGACTGGCTGCAGCCCGGTGCGCCAGGAGGGGGCTGGGCTGGAGGAGAAACTACAACCAAGCGAGCCTTTCCCGCCCCCCGGAGTCGTCTGCGCGGCAGCGGCGTCTCTTACCGAATGGTTCACTCCCCACATGAGGACGCTGAGCAGCGGATCGCTGGCCCGGAAGAGCTTGACTTTCTGGGCCACGAAGTGTTTCTTCTTGGTCTTGGTCTTACTCGCCATAACGGACACGATATTACCCGGGGCCGCCATGGGAGCCGCCGAGGAGCAACCCAGGAGGAAGAGGAGAAAAAGGACGGCGAGGGTCAGTGCCCCGGAGCCGCCACGGGCAGGGCAGGGAAGGGAAAGGAAGAGACGGCGGGAAAGGAAGGGCCAGTAAAACCAGGCAGCTTGGCTGGCTGGCTGGTTTTGGGGCAGCACGTCGGGCGCTAGCGCGGCTGCGGCAGAATCGAAGCGACGGGCTAGTCCCTGGCAAGGCTTCTGCTACTGCTGCAGCTGCTGCCCACGCAGGGCGATACCAAGAGCATCCTAGCCCGGACGCTCGCCCCGCTCGCTGGAAGGGCCTGCGTTCTCTCCGCCCCTCGCAGGTCCCGCCTTCGACCCTCTGGCGGGCGGGGGGGGGAAACGCCGTCGTTCCTCCCCCTCCTTCTCCTGGCCTTCTCTGTATCTGAGCGCCCCGCCTCCCTCCCCCAAGAAGGCGCTTCGCTCTCAGAGCGGAGTTGTAAGGCTAGAGCCAGCCGACACGCGCGTCTCCTCCATGGGAGCATGCGCAGCGGTTTAGGGCGTGCGCGGCAGGAAAAATGAAGTCCTCGCTGCATTCTCTTTGCCCAACGTTGAGTCTTGCTTTCCCTCCCGTCTTTCGGATAAGGAATGCAGGATAGCAGATGAGCGATGGCTTCCATTATCACAGTCCAACAGTGAAGGGATTTGTCATTTTCTCTCTCTATCCAGATAATGAAATAACGGATTAAGGCTGCAATCCTAAAACCAAGTCTTGGGAAGAAATATGCTTCAGATAATAAATTATAATAATTTGAAATTAGGGTGCAGTGTGAAGCCAACAATTATAGTCCATGCAGTAATCTATCATTTATAACAGGGTTTCTCAACCTTGGCAACTTGAAAATGTGGAGACTTTCCAACTCCCAGAATTTTCCATCCAGCAGCTACCCCCAGTAATCATGATTTACAGCTTTGCAGTGCATTGCAAAAACTCAAGTCAATTTGAATTAGTTCAATAGACCATACTTAATCCAGACTTTAGCACAATCTCCAAGCCTGAATAAATTCATACAGTGCATCATAACTGTCCCCCTCAAAATCTCACTGCATTCCTCGTTGTGATGGGGTGAACTACATGGGATGTAATAACATCCTGAGTAGACAAATTGCAGACCTTAAAATTTGTGGAACAATTTAACTACCTTGGTAGAATAATGGATAGAAATGGGGGAATAAGAAGCAAATGTGAAATGCCGAATAGATAAATAAACATCTGTCTTCCAACAAATGTGGTCAGTATGGAGCACATCCACTATAAACACAACTAAGATCAGATTATTTAATGCCATTGTCATACCGCCGTCTATACCAGTGAGACCTGGAAATCCACAAGGAGAATTCATAAGAGCAATGTCTTCCAATGTCGTCTCAGAAAGATTCTTCATATCTCGTATCGGGCCCAAGTCACAAACGAGGACATTCTATAAAGAAGCAATTCCTAAAGACTTTCTTGAGATAGTGACAAAATGTAGAATATGCTTTGCTGAATGTGTGTTCCATATGAGTAAGCAATGTCCAGCAAAGACTGCAATCAATTGGATACCATCAGATGGTCAAAGAAAAAGAGGAAGGTCAGAGAAAATCTGTGCCAAACATTTCAGAAAGATCTGAAAAACATCAACCTTAAATGGAAGGATGTGGAGACTGTAGCTGTAGTCTGAAAATTGTGGAGAACGCTTGTAGTCCAATGTGCTTAGCATAGAACCTGATCATGATCATCATAACTGGTGAATGAATAAATGTGGATAGAATTGCACCATTGTTAGTTGATTCAACAAATGTTACTAAAATTCAGTTAAGCACTTCTTAAAAACTATTGTAATGTATATATCCTAAAATTTATACCATTAGGTAGGAACGGTATTCTCTTAAATTTCACCATCCCAGCTTAATAAATTAAAATAAAGAAATGAAATTATGCTGGTGTTACACTTCGCACAAACATTAAACACTGCTAACATAACACCTTATATGTACCAATATAAGGAGAAATAAGATTATGAATACAATGGCAAGTCAGTTGAAATCTTATATAATTGTGATGTTAATTGGGAAACGAAAATAAAGAGGGGGAAAGGAAAAAAACCTGATCTCTTCCTACCACTATTTATGTTCCACCTCATCCTGAACAGTTTTAATCATAATCCATGGCTTATCAAAGGTTGCTATGCAACTTGATAGAGTTACCATTTTTATTAGAAATAATTAGGATTTCAAATTTTTACTAGTTATTTCAAGATTCTGTTAAGTGTTAACCAAAACAATGACAGCTTTAAATCAGTGGTTCTCAACCTTTTTAATGCTGCGACCCCAACCGGTCGTAAGTCAAGGACTAAACCGGTCATCAGTCGAGGACTAAGCCGGTCGTAAGTCGAGGACTAAACCGGTCGTAAGTCGAGGACTACCCAACCGGTCGTAAGTCGAGGACTTTCCCTGCCTGGGAGCGCCACGCATGTGTGGTTCCGCCCCCTGCACCAACCGAGGCATAGCTGGCAAGCGGCAGAGACTGAGCAGGCCGACCACCAGCTGGCCCAGCTCAAGGGAGGTAAGGCACCCGCCGGAAAAGGGGGGAAAAATGGCGGACAGCCTTGCTTGGCAACCCCCGTGAAATGGTCGATCGACCCCAAATGGGTTCGTGACCCATAGGTTGAGAACTGCTGCTTTAAATGGTCTTAGCATTAAAGAAACCACAAATCATTGTATGACAATTAGGTTGGGGATATGGTGGTAATACACATACTCAGGGCAATTTAATCTAATGTGCAAATACCCTCTGAGCCTGTTTAGTGCTATTCTGTTACCTACAATGATTAATAATTTGGGTATCCATTGATCAGGCCAGGAAAGAAAAATAAAGAATGTAATAGAAATAAGGGCAGTCAATCAAAACTGTGTTCAGGCATGGTGGTAGTCATAAACCATGGTTTGCAAGTCACATTAATAAAGTTTATGTCTGACACTGAGTTAAAACCAATGAAACAACATTTGTACTACAATATATGTGGATTGGAGTGGTTAGATGCTGAGATTGTCAATCGGAAAGTTGCAAGCCTGGGTTCGAGACCCAAGTGTTGCACATCGGGTGAGCTCCTGTTACTTGCCCAGTTCCTGCCCACTTAGCAGTTCAAAAGCATGCAAATGAAAGTAGATAAATAAGTACCACTGCAGTGGGAAGGTAACAGTGTTTTGTGCACCTCAGCATATACCGTATTTTTCGCTCTATAAGACGCACCTGACCATAAGACGCACATACCGGTACTATACTATTTCTCTTTCCCTCTCTCTCTCTCTCTATTTCTCTCTCCCTCTCAAAGATCCTTAAAATCCTTAAAGGTTATGCTTGGGCAGAAGACGTTTTCTTTTACAGATGGGGCGGGTGGGCCTGACATTCGCGCGCAGGCAGGACCCCGCCCGCCGAGCCACCGCTTCCCCATCGCCCTCCACGCCAGCCGGCTCCGTCTCCAGACCTCCCAGCTGACGGGCGCAGGTCTGGGGCTCGCCAGCTGACGGGCGCAGGAGGTAGGCGCCGCCGCGGCCTCCCAACCGCGCCGCCGCGGCCTCCCAACCGTTTGCTTCTTCGGCTGGAGCGATTGCAAGGGCTTGCATGGTCCCCAAGGGCCGCTGACGCGCTCCCCGCTGCCGGTGACCACGCAAGCCCTTGCAATTGCTCCAGCCGAAGAAGCAAGCGGCTGGGAGGCCGCGGCGGCGCCTACCTCCTGCGCCCGTCAGCTGGCGACCCCCGGACCTGCGCCCGTCAGCTGGAATGTCAGGCAATGCTTTGGCCGGTGCGGAGGGCGAAGGGGAGGACGCTGCAGTGCCGAACTCCTGCGCCCGTCAGCTGGCGACCCCCGGACCTGCGCCCGTCAGCTGGGAGGTCTGGAGACGGAGACGGCTGGTGTGGAGGGCGATGGGGAACCGGTGGCTCGGCGGGCGGGGTCCTGCCTGCGCGCGAATGTCAGGCCCACCCGCCCCATCTGTAAAAGAAAACGTCTTCCGCCGAAGCATAACACCAGCAGTTCTGTGCCACAGAGGCTTGAGACACGGAGGCGCGGGACGCGGAGCGGCGCGGTGGCAGGTGGCATTCGCTCCATAAGACGCACAGACATTTCCCCCCATCTTTTGGGGGGGAAAAGTGCGTCTTATAGAGCGAAAAATACGGTAGTCATGCTGGCCATATGACTACAGAAGGGTCTTTGGATAATGTTGGCTTTCTCAGCTAAGAAATGGAGATGAGTACCTCCCCCAAATGTTGGACACAACTGTTACCTTCCCACTGCAGTGGTACATATATTTGGTATGGTGTATATATTTACCACTGCAGTGGGAAGATAACAGTGTTCTGTGCATGTCAGCATATAGTCATGCTGTACATATATACACACACACATACACACACACCATGTATTGGTTCTGCAGAGCAACATATTGCTCAAATAATAAATGTAGCTTTTACTTAACTGCATTAACAATTGTCACTGCAGGCTATTGGTGTTTCCTATTTTAGCACAGTACTGCATTACTAAATCATTTTTATTGAATTACTCTGCTTAATCCAGAACAGTACTATTTCGGCTGTTCCAAATGTTTCCTGATATTGTTATGTCTTGTTACAGTCTAGGTGCTCTTTACTAGCACCCTATTCAAGTCTGATCCAAGTTAAAAACTACTAAGAACCTGCAAGTCACGCATACACCAATATACTGTTATGACATTGTTCCTTAGATAATTCTGTAAAGGATCTTCTTCCATTTTGCACTTCAGAGTGTCTTAGTGTTATTATGCTGTAACCTCATCAATCTTGGCAATTTCTAAATTAATACCTGTTTTAATTATGGATGTATAGATAGTCCTCAACTTACAATCACAATTGGAGCTGGAATTTCCATTGCTAAGTAAAGCAATTGTTAAATGAATCATGTGGTCGTTAAGCGAACTTGGGTTCCTCCATTGACTTTTCTTATTTGGAGCCGGCTGGGAAGGTCATAAATGCCAATCATG